AGAGGAATAAAAGCTGCATGAAGTGAGTGTGAAGGAGACAAGTCATCAAATTAGTTATCCTTCACTGCAGCTCTGGAGAATTCTCTGCCTCTCCTCTTTCTCTTCAGTGACTATATGTATGTATGTGTGTGTGTTTGCATGTGTGTATATATGTAAACACATACGTATTTTTTCCCTAGCCTGATTGAATGGAAAATGGAGGACAACATAGCCGCCTCCGATGGTTCTGAGTAGATTGTAAAGGCCACATCCTATGCTCGTGTAGGATTGGGCAATGATGATATTGTCATCTACAAGCAATTTTTTAGCACTTTCTGTGTAGTTGGAAAGGTAGCATGGCATGGTAGCCAAGAACGTGAACTTTGTAACTCAATTGCCTGGTTCAGATCCTAGCTCAGATACTTACTAGGTTTGTGATTCTGAGCAAGTTACTTAACCTTTCTGTGCTTTCACTTCCTGTCCATTAAATGAAGATAATAATCGACATACCTCACACAGCAGTATGCAGATGCATGGAGTTGATCCATGTAAAACAGAGTACTGCCAGCACATGGCGCCATTACCTCTGTACACATGGCGACAGACCGATGTGAAGATGATTCAGCTGCGACAAGATGACTCCTGATCACCTCTGCTGAACTAACTAAACGTGACTGATGTGGCTAGATAACTGTCTTTTTATTTCCCTGGTTATTTCTTTTTACAAGTACCCTTTTATTATAAGAAAATTACTTTACAAAATAAGAAAATAAAGTTCTGTGAATCAAGGGTATAGTAGGTGGTTGGTTGGCCATGTCTCTCCAGCCTGCACCGTGCTGCCAGCTTTAGCTTTCCAAAGCATGATGTTCTTCAATTTCTGCTTCCCCAGATGGAATACAAAAATAAATATCCAGAAATCAGGTGCACTTCTATATACCTATAATAAATTTTCAGAAAGGGAAACTAAGAAAACAATCCCATTTACAATTGCATTTAAAAAAGCCTATTAATAAATTTAACCAAGGGTGTAAAAGATCTGTACTCAGAAAATTATAAGACACTGAAGAAAGAAATTAAAGATACAAGCAAGTTGAAGCATATACCATGTTCATGGCCAGAAAGAATATCATTAAGAAGTCCATACTACCCAAAGTAATCTATAGATTCAACAATATTCCTATCAAGATGCCAATGGCATATTTCACAGAACTAGAACAAATATTCCAAAAATTTATATGGAAACACAAAAGATTCTGAATAGCCACCGCAAAGAGAAAAAGAACGAAGTTCTAGGAATTATGCTACCTGATATCAAACTATACTACAAGGCCATAGTAATCAATACAGCATGTTACTGGCATAAAAATAAATATATACATCAATGGAACAGAATAGAGAGCCCAGAAGTAACCCCATGCCTTTATGGTCAATTAATATTTGACAAAAGTAACAAAAACATGCGGAGGAGTAAAGATAGTCTATTCAATAAATGGTGTTGGGAAAATTGTACAGATACATGCAAAAAAATGAAACTAGACCACTTTCTTACATCGTACACTCAAGAATAAACTGAAAAGAGATTAAAGACTTAAATGTTAGACTCAAAACCATAAAAATTTTAGAAGAAAACATAGGCAGTAAAATCTCTGACATTTCTCATAGCAATATTTTTTCTGGTATATAACCTCAGGCAAGAGAAACAAACAAAAAAAAAAAATAGACAAGTGGGACTACATCAAACTAAAAAGTTTTTGCAGAGCATAGGGAACCATCAACACTAAATGGGAGAGCATATTTTCCAATGGCACATCAGATAAGGGGTTACTATCCAAAACTTATAAATAACTTATAAAACTTAACACCAAAGAAAATACCCAATTATAACATGGGCAAAGGACCTGAGTAGAAACTTCTTCAAAGAGAATATACAAATGACCAATAAACATGTGAATAGATGCCCAATGTCACTAATCATCAGCGAAATGCAAATTAAAACCACAGTATCACTTCACATCTGTCAGAACGACTATCATCAATAAATCAACAAACAACAAGTGCGGGCGAGGATGTGGAGAAAGGGCAACCCTTTTGCACTGTTGGTGAGAATGCAGACTGATACAGCCAGCGGTATGGGTTTACCTCAGAAACTTAAAAGTGGAACTGCTTTATGACCCAGCTATTTTACTTCTGGGAACTTATCAAAAGAAACCCAAAACACTAATTTGAAAAAACATGCACACCCTTATGTTCATTGCAGCATTATATATAATAGCCAAGATTTGGGACATTTACACAATGGAATACTACGTGGTCATAAAAAGAAGGAAATCTTACCTTTTGCGACAGCATGGATGGACCTGGAGAGCATTATGTGAAGTGAAATAAGCCAGTCAGAGAAAGACAAGAACCATGTGATTTCACATATATATGGAATCTAATGAACAAAATAAACTAGCAAACAAAATAGAAACAGACTCCTAGGTACAGAGAAGAGAATGACTGTTGCCAGAGGGCCGAGGGGTTGGGGGGCTGGGTGAAAAATATGAAAGAATTGAGCCAAAAAAAAAAAAAAAACAAACCCTCATAAACACAGACAACAGTATGGTGATTACCAGAGGGAAAGGAGGTAGATGGAGGTAGAGAAGAGGGTAAAAGGATAAATGTTGATGGAAGGAGAGTTGACTTGGATTGGTGGACATTCAGTACAATATAGAGATGTATAAATGAAATGTATATAATTTTATTAACCAATATCACCCCAATACACTCAATAAAATTTTTTAATACTTTTTTTTGCCTGTCATGCCATTCTTAGCACAGCCCAGCCCTTCCTCTCCCTGTCATTAACCTTTTTTATTCATCGCTCCCCTATGGACTCCAGTCAAAACTGATCTCTAGTGCCCTTTCTCAAAGGCACCACGTTCTTCCTTGTTCTCTTCCTTCGTTCACATTGTTCATTTTGTCTAACATGCTCTACTCTCTTCCTCCACTTCTCTAAGTCAGACCTAATGTTCTAAGCTGAGCCAGAAAAGGGATGGTGAAAGATACCTTTGTATTTTTTATGATATAGCATGTCTGTCCCGATACAGCATTTGCTAATAAGTAAAGGTTATTAATGATGATGAACGATCCTTTCAAACTACGTGTGGAATCTGACCACTTATGTCCGCCACTGCCACCCTTATCCAAGCCACAATTATTTTTTTCTCTGCCCCCTTCCCTTTCTCCCTGTTCCACCTTTGCGCAACCCCTACATTCTACCCTCAACACAGCAGCAAAAGATCCCCACTTGAAATTTAAGTAGATTCTATCACTTCTGTGCTCAAAACCCTCCATTCCCTTCCCATCTCACCCAGAGAAAAACCAAAGTCCTTGCAATTGCCTTCAATGCCCCTTAAGATTGGCCACTGCACCCCAGCCCCACCCTTGGCCTCCCCGCAGTTACCACTCTGCCTTCATACCCTCCTGCTCCGTCCCTGTCCCCTGCTACGCTCTACTTCTGCCACACTGGCTTCCTTGCTGTTCTCTGAAGACACAAGGCACAGTCCTGCCTCCGGGACTTTGCACAAACTGTTCCCTCTACCCAGAAAGCTCCTCCTTGGAAAATCTTCAGGGCTCCTCCTTCCTGCAGGTCTCTGGTCCACTGGCTTCTCAATGAGATCTTCGCTGATAATCCCTAATTTACTCTCTCTCCAAACTGGAGTGTATATTCTGGGGGCAGAGGGGAGGATTTTTTGTCTATTTTGTTCAGTGCTCTACCCTCAGTACCAAAAACAGAACTTGATGCAAAGTAAGTACTTAATAAATAGTTTTTGAATGTATGAGTGAAAATTTGACCCTTAAAAATATGTCCATATTCCCAACCCTCCTCTCACTTCAATCATATTTAGGCTAAGAAAATGAAGCATCCTATAATAGTTTTGAGAATATTAAAATAGCCATAGTTGAAATGCATGGCAATTGGAGCAGAAAGTTCGATTGCAGAGAAAAGAGATTTCTGCATCAAGTAAAGAAAAGAACTGGTTTATAGTATAACTGCCATTTAAATTATATTGGTGTCTTCAGGGACTGTTGTTGACCCAGCACCAAGGCACATTTTGAGAGAGCAAGTAGCTGGCCACCCCATCCTCTTCCTCAGGTGGAGAATGTAACTAAAACATGGAGATTTTTGTTTGTTTTTCATTTGTTTGTACTTATCATCTGGTAGCAGAGTAAAATGGTGAACAAGCATTGGTTGGAGTCAGACAGACCTGGGTTTAAATTGTGGCGTTTTACTATGTGACCTTGGATTATGTAACTACCCTGAGCCTCTGTTTGATTATGTATAAAATTATTTTTAGGTAAGGCCTTTCTCTCACTGTTGTTATAAAAGTTAAGTGAGAAAAGACACATGAATCACTTGAGACACAACATGTGTTCAATGAATGTCTCTGTGAGCATTGCATCCTATGGAAGGAGCTATATATTTTGCTACTGAATTATATTTTTTTGGATTAAGTCGAAAAAGAGAGGTAGCAGGTCAACTGATGTGTAGCAGTAAGCTTTGGCTACCAGGGCTTGGACCCTGGAGAAGCCCCACAACACTGTGGATCTCTCAACAGCAGTGATGAAGCTGCAAGAGCATTCCTGGAGCATGAGCCTTACCACCTACCTGAGTCTTGTGGAACCCTACTCTTTTTATCTTTTGAACCGATTCTTATCCTTCTATCTTCTGTTTTCAGTTCTCTTCTACTCCCCTTATTCTCAAAATGTTATGCTAGGTGTTTGAAGTTGGATATTCCATACTGCAAAATCATCCAAAAATCAACAAAGGAAAAGTAAGACCAGGCAGCTATTCTATACCATAAAATACATGAATGTTAATTTTCAATCAAGATGTGAGGAATATATATATATATATACACACACACTAAGTTTTGGAGTTATAACCTCTTGAGGAAGGAAATATTTTGTTTAAACCACTGAACTATTTTTACATGCCTTTTTTTTTTTCACATTGGCACCAATTTTGAAATCTTTAGGAAGCCAAAGCTGTCATCGAAGAAACCAGAGCCCTGCGAAGTCGGATTCATCTTGCCGAAGCCGCACAGAGACAGGCGCATGGAATGGAAATGGACTACGAAGAAGTGATCCGTCTGCTGGAGGCCGAGATCACAGAGCTGAAGGCTCAGCTTGCTGATTATTCTGACCAAAATAAAGTGAGCAAAACAGTCCCCTCTTCTAGTTACCATGGTTTCCTTGCCGTTGTCATGTATCCTGTTTTCATTTTCTTTTCATCTGCACTTCTAAACTAGGTCAGTGTTTGTCTTCTATTATTCAATGACAGGATGATGTGTAGTGATGGGGGCAATGTGGAAGTTGTGAGCCTCCCTTTATTCAGATAGTTTTGTGATGGAAAAGCATGTGCCCCAAATTTATTTGGGTCATCGGTCAGCATTGTACAGCTCAGGCATTAAATCCTGGAATTATTTAGCATTTAATTGATTACACTGTTTTTCTCTTTTGTTTCTAAACTTGCTAATTTGTCTTGTGGGGATGGGAGGAGGAGAATTTAGGGATGGGTTTTGCTTTTTTATTAAAGCACTCAAGGAAGTGTGAAAGTTAAATAACTTTGCCCAAGGCCCAAGATAATTAATAGGAAGAAACTGAGTTTGAATATAATAGGCTCAAATTTCAATAGCAAAACACTGAATGCTTTTGGGAAGGCAATGTGAACTTTTTTATATGCATTTTTATGTGATTTTTTTCCTATAGTACATACGATATTCATTAAATGGTGTTCAAAAACTATAATAGACATACAGATTGACTTCATGGAGGCAAGATAGAATATAAAATAAATTGAAATTGATATTTTCTAACTTCATAGTTTATTATAAATATGATAGGTGTTTATATCTCTAATCCAATCACCTTTCATGAGAACATAAAGCAACTTTGAATTATTTGTCTATTTATTTAAACATAAGAGTTAAATACTTTAAATATACCAATGAAACTCCTTTTAGACAAGCAAAATACAGAAGAGAATGTGAAATTTCCTCAGGTTAGCTCTTAAGAGTTAGTAATATGTTCCTTACATCTGTCCATGTAAACCAATTCCACAAAAAGTCTGACGTTCACATCACCGTTTGATAATACCACAAGGCCAAGGGGAAAACATGTTGCTTGAGAAAGCAGGAAAACTTAGGAATATTACATATATTGGTTTATTTTTGTCTCAATATTTACATTCTAAAAATGGGGATATGTACTTATTTTATGTAACTCTAACGTGATTCTTAAAAAAAATTTTGTAATGACGAAAATATTCAAAGTACTTTTTGCAAGGAAAACTAGTCTCTAAAAAAAATTACAACATATAAGGAGTTAAGATGAATTTATTTAAGTTTGTTTTTAAAAACATAGGTTATTTGAAATTCTTTCTTCCAGCTCCTTAGCTGAGGAACACTTGTTCTAAGTTGTCTGGTAGTAAAATTAATTCAATTCATTTTTAGCATAATGGGATCATACGCCATTTCTCTTAACTATACCCTTAGTGAATCTAGTAACCTATCTCTGAAAACAATCTTTTTTTTTTCAAAGAAGAGGTTTTAGACATGGGCATCTCAACATTTTTACCCAACACCAGTGGACAAAGAGAAACTGTTTTTCTAATTGTGTGAGACTACTGGAAGAGACATTGGCCAAGATGTTATAGAACTTATATTCAAATATTTATTTTTAAGACACAGATTTCTTTTTATAACAATCGTTTTACTTTACTTAGAAAAATTTATTTATTTATTTTTAGAGAGAGGGGAAGGGAGGGAGAAAGACATCAATATGTGGTTGCCTCTCATGCGCCCTCCACTGGGGACCTGGCCTGCAACCCAGGCAGGTGCCCTGACTGGGAATCAAACCAGCAACCCTTTGGTTTACAGGGCAGCATTCAGTCCACTGAGCCACACCAGCTGGGGCACTTTTTACTGTCATTATAATTTTCCCTTGTGTTTTCTGTTCATTTACTTATTTACCAATATTTTTGAAAATGCACAATGTCCCTGCCCAGTTTGATCTCTCTCCCTTGCCCCAGAGGTAATGACTTCCCTGGATTTTGTGTTAACCATTTTGCTGATAATTTTACAGTGTGTGTTTATATCCCTTCAAAATATGTTGTTTCATTTTGCCTACTTATCGACTTTATATAAATAGAAATATATTGCATGTGCTATTCTGCCTTTTGCTTTTTTCATTCAATATTGGTTTCTGTGATTTATCCACTTAAAGCTTATAGCTAGTTTATGTCTTTTCATTGCTTTGTTTGTACACCATTGAATGGCTGTACTAAAGAATATTTATCCATTCTGTATTTGTTGGATGGTCCAATTGTTTTCATTTTCTTCTATTCTGAACAGTGTTGCTAAAAACATTTTTGGATATATATATATATATCCTGTTCTATGTGTGTAGAAGTTTTTCTTCAGTTCATAGCTTGGAGTGGAATTGCTATGTTGGCTGATGACCGTACAATCAACTTTCCTAGGTAATGCCCAATTCTGTTTGAAAGGATTGGAACTGATTTTTACTCCCACCAGTTGAATGAGAATCACCATTTACTGCACATCCTTGCTGACACTGTTTTCCTTTACTTTTATCAGTCTGTCCAGTGTGATAAGTGTATCTCATAGTTTAATTTGAATTTCCCTGGTTACTAATGACTTTGAGCTGCTGATATGCTGGGATCAGCTGGCACTGGCTCAGGAAAGGTGATTGGGTACATATTTCTCAGCTCCCTGGTTAGTGACGTCAGGTTGGTAGCTTGAAAACAGCCATGACAGAGTTATTTATACCCCCGAACGCTATAAACCGGGGCTTTGCCCCCTCCCCAGCCCCAGATAGACAGCTGCGCATATACTTATGTATTTATTAGACATTTGTCTTTCTATATGATATGGCTCTTCATATCCTTTAGCTGTTTTTCCATTGGTATGTCTTTTTCATATTGACATATAATAATTGTTTCTATGTTCTCATTACTAGACTTATAATGTATTACATGTTATAAAAATCTTCTGAGTGTATGACTTCCTTTTCCACCCTATGGTGAAATGAATGGATGTTTTTCATTTTCATATAATTAAAGTTATCAGTTTTTCCCTCATGTTTCTTTTGAGAAGTCCTTCCATTCCCAAAGATATTAAGATAATTTCTTTATATTTTCCTATAAAAATTTTAAGGTTTTGATCCTTCTGTCTTTGATTTTATGGCATTGTGTGAGTTGGGGATTCCTTCCTTCCTTCCTTCCTTCCTTCCTTCTTTCATTTCTTCTAAATCAGCAGTTTTCAACCTTTTTCATCTCATGACACACATAAACTAATTACCAAAATCCTATAGCATACCAAAAGGTTCCAATCTGACCAAAAAAAAAAAAAAAGACCTAATTTTGATTCATTCACACTGGACAGCTATTTTTGTATTGGCTGTTATCATTCTTTTTATTTGACAGTCTAAGGGAAAAGAGGTCAGTGCCCCTAAATAGGCAGGTATTGCATGATTTAACAATTCTTGGGGCATACTATAGTGCCGCGGCATGCTGGTTGAAAATCACTGTTCTGAATGAATAGCTAAGTCGCTGCACCATTTATTCAAAAGCTTCTTCTTTCCTAATTCCTCTACAAAATCAGCTCTGTCATATATCAAGACTTTATGTGTATGGATCTTTGGGGGGGGGGTCTCTATTCTCTTTTATTGGTCTTTTTTTATATTCCTGTTCAAATAACACTTTGTGTTATCACTATTGGGTTGGCCAAAAAGTTTGCCTAGTTTTTTCTGTAAAATAAAGGACATATTTTTCATTTTCACCAATAACTTTATTCATTTGCATATTTGAATATGTTGACTATCTCCCCCACAGTATAACACTAATTGTTCTCAATTAATATCTCGATTTGATCACTATCAACTTCATCTAGTCTGCCCGACTGTGGAGCATTGTCCAGCGACAAATCTTCAGCATGAAACTTTGCAAACCACTTTGGACATGTTCAATCAGTCTCAGCACCTTCTCCATACACTGCACAAATCTTTTATTTGTTTTTGCATTTCATTTGCATTTTTACCTTTCTTGAAACAGTGAAGCATAACATGCTAAAAATGTCGCTCATTTTCTTCCATCTTCAATATTAAAATGGCTACAAAAGAATTCAGCAATTTTGATAAGTTTGTGTTTTTTTTTTATGCATACCAATAGGGCAGCTGTCACAATACAATCTAACAAAATTGTTTTGAATGAAGTTAAAGACAACTAAGCACTACTGGAGCCATCTTACAGAAAACAAATGAACTATTTGACCAACCCAATACATCTTTTGCCATAAGTCTTGTTAGCTTATTTACCCTGCCTAATTCTTTTTCTTTAAAAGTGTGTTAGTACATGACCCTTTGATCTTTTATGTTTTTAGACTCAATTAATAAATTCCACCAAAAAAATTAACCTTTTTACTGAAAATGCCTTAAGCGCATAGATTAATTTGGGAATAGTTTACATATTTACGATTGAGTCTTGATTTATAAACACGAATGGGTCACAGAAAGATGAATTGCATTGTTAGGTGAATTGAATTGTTGGTCTGCAGAATAACAACAAAATGTGTTGATGGTTGTTTTACTACATGGCCACTGCTTGCAAATGTTCAAAGGAAGCTTGAAAAGAGTTCTGTAGTTGTTTCACGTCGCTGTGTTATTTTAGACCACTAGATCAGAGTCATTAATTGTGGGGTTCAATTGCTCTCTAGTCATATTAATTTGTCAGGGAAGTGCATTAAAATCACACACATGGGGGCTTGTGATTAATGTTCTTTATGTGTTTTTGAAGTAATGCTTTTAGCTGCTTACAAGGTTGGAGTTATGTTATCATCCATTTATTAAAATGTTGTAATTCTTCAGTCTAGTAACATCCTTTTCCCCTTAATGCTTGTTTTTGATTGATATTAAAATAGTTACACTGGTTTTCTTTTGATTAGTATTTACCTATTTTTTTTTACATCCTTTTACTTTCAACTTATTGGTGTCCCTGTGTTCTAATTGTGTCTGTGATAAATAACATGTGGCTGAATTTCCGTGTTTCCCAATTTTAATAATTGTTTACCTTTAACTAGAAAGATTGTTTCAATTTCATTATTTTATTTGCTAATGCACTTGGCTTCATCTCTACCCTCTTAATTTGTGCCTTTTATTTGTCTCGTGTTTTCTTCGTGTTTTTTACTTCTTGCCACCTTCTGTCTTCTTTTTCTTCTCCTCCTTCTCCTCTCCCTCTCATCCTTCTTCTTCCTCTCCTTCCTCCAACTTCCTCTCCTTCCTCTCCTTCTCCTCCTCCTTTTTGAATTGGTTCAGACTTCTACTGCATTCTTCCACTCCCTTTCCATTTGTTTCCCTCTTCTGGTTCCCAAGTTACATACTCTTTTTCTAATTTTTAATTATTGTCTTAGCAATTTAACATTCTTCTGTAACTTAAATTATAAAACTAATCACTAACTTTACCCTTTTTTATAAAAGCAGTTTAGAATATAAATCCAATAATTTCTTCCTTCTTAATTTCTATTTTTGTCACTATTTTAGTTCTTTGTCATAAATTATACACTATTACAGTTTATTCTGTGCAGTCAGCCTTTGTTTAGCTAGACCACTATGCTTACCCTTTTCTATGTTTCTCATTCTTTCTTGCATCTCAGACCTTCTTGCTGAAATTATTTTCTTTCTTTATGAAGTACCGCTCTTAGAAATTTATTCAGTGAAGATCTACTAGTAATAAACTCTCTCCATTTTCATTTGTCTGAAAGTGTCTTTATTGAACTCTTGTTTTTGAAATACATTTTTGCTACCTTTAGAATTGTTGATTTAGCTTTTTTTTTTTTTTTGGTGTTTTTGCTCCGTGGTTGCAATAGTCATCAATCTGTCATTTGTTTGTGATCCATTGTTGCTTTCTGGATGATTTTAAGGTCTCTTTACCCTTAATGTTCAGCAGTTTCACTAGGAAGACTCATGTGCTAACTTAATTATTTAGAGTCATTGAGCTTCCTGATATCTTTCCTGAGGAAAAATGTCTTCTGCAATTTTTTTCTAACAACCATAAGCAGTTATCCTCAGCTATTTTTCTTTTTATTTTTTCTAGTCTTACTTGTGTAATTCAGATTGTACATATGCAAGATCTTCTAATTTTTTGTCTCCTTACCTCATCTCTTTTTTTGTACTTTCCATTTTATCTTTCTGCTTCATTATAAGATTCTTTACCTCCGTCTTTCACTTGACTCATTCTCTTTTCAACTGTCTCTAATTGGATAGTAAGCAAGCTTGCAAATTGTTTCTAATTTCATTATAATTACATTTTTTAAGATGGATTTTTTATGTCATTGAATCTATTTTGATATTTTCTCCCTTTTTATTATGCTTTCCATTCCTTTGAATTTTTAAGATATATTAAACATTGCCATATATTCTGTATCTGATCACTCCAGCGTCTGTCGTTTTCATAGGACTGACCCTGACACATTTCCTTCAGTGGACTTTCACTTACGGTAGCTTATCTCCTGAGGACCTGTCCTTTTGATACAATATATGTGAGCATGACTTACAATTTCAGTTTAGAAAATATCCCTCCGTAGAAGCTTTGTGTTTTCCTCTACCAGCCTGGGACCAATTTCAACTAAAATTTCAGCTTATGAATTTTCAGATTACACAGTAGCATAAATTCAGACTTTAAACCTACTTCAGCGGAGGCTTGCGGTTGGCGCTTATTCAGCAGATACTTTTCTTAATCTGCTCACCAGGGCCAAAGTTAAACCGTTGTGCAGTTTATGGGCTTGTTCCTCTCTAGTTCACCCTTTCAAGTTCTCCCGTTAAAGTTCTCCTGTTTACCACTTGTGCCTGATGAAACCCCAGACTGTCCGGCGCCAGCGCTCAGCGTGTCCCCCCAGAGCAAGTCACGCTGCAGGGCGCCCTTCCTCGCGTGCCCGCTCCACATTGCTCTCGCTCATCTCCGTGGAATTCCTGGACTGCGCGTGGGATCCTTTACCTCCCCACCAGCTCTGCTCCACACTGGACTGTGTTATAGTAAATATGTGTGTCTTATCTTCTGCCTTCCTCAGTTGTGCCACACTGGTAGGAGTTTTTGTCAGCATTTGGAAAGCCATGTTGCCAAAGGAATAATAAAAAAAAAAGCACTGTAAACTAATATAAATGTAATTTATTGTAGGAATCGATAAAGTTATATGAAGCTTATCTTGTAAAATTTGCAGCATCCCTGTGCAGTTTAACTGTTCAATGGGCCATTATTTTTAAGTGCTGCCACCAAATCAAAAGGTATACATAATAAAGAGAAAATAAATGATATGGCAATGTAGGATACTAGTTAACAAAAAGTGAAAGTAGGAGCCAGTCATATTAAACAGAAGGAGTGTGTAAGGTGACCTGGTTGCTCTCTCTTCCCAGGAAAGTGTTCAGGAGTTAAGAAAGAGAATCACAGTCCTTGACTGCCAATTGCGAAAATCGGAAACGGCTCGGAAAACTTTGGAGGCATCCACTGAAAAGCTTCTTCATTTTGTAGAGGTAACTTTTCCTATTATATTAATTTATGTCCACTTTTAAGAAATGTATAAACAATTAACATATAGATAAACGTCAGTGTTTGGTGTGCTTAAAACAGCAGTAAGAACTTACAGTCAGATTAAAAATTGCCTAGATAATGAGAAGACCAGCTAACATACACATTGCTAAGAGAAATGATTGAGACAGGGCAACATGATCCCAAATAGATGCTATGCGTTAATGAATAATTTCCTAGTAAAACTCTTGATACTCTATAACCATTATTTGATAAATATTTACCAGTTATAAAGAAAAGTTTCTACAGTTGTTATATTTCTGAGTAGAATGGCATGTTAATGAGTGGATCCCCACATCACATAACAGAAACACCTTTTAATCAATTAAGGGAGTAGCCTGAAGGAGGAGGTTATACATATTAACTAAGCAAGAAAAGACACCTTAAAAGACTATCAAACTTAGAAATCTTCTTCACTATTTTGTTTGTTGCTAGGCTGTTCAAGAAGTATTTTCTGATAATTCTGCTCATTTATCAACTTTAAGGTAAGAATATTTGAGTACTTTCTACAGAGTATGGCCACTGAGTACACTTTTGTCTGAAAATTGGAACTAAAATGCTAAAATCCCTTAGTTTTAAGATGCTACGTAACTCCTGCTCGATGCTGTTCTTTATTGTCTTGTGGGGATAAATACAAAGGGTTGGGAAACGCCCTGTCTGGTTTCAGGGACTGTAGCCCCGCCATCAGGTGAGAGGGCCCCAAGGCTGGATTTAATCAAGGAGGACTTGGGAAAACAGGCCGCTGAGGAACAAAACCTGTCCCCCTGTCAGGGACGCAGCCCCTGCCCGCCTCGCGTCACCCTGCTTGGCCCTGTGATGGTCAGTTGTTAATGACAGGTAAAATCTCTCAAGAGGAGGGACAACCTAAGCCAGATATCTGCTAGTATAAGCAGCAGACAAGGACTTGAGGGAGAAAGGGCAAAAAGGCCCACACCCCTCGGCTCAGCCTGGACTTGGCCAGGAGTCCTCATTCTGTCTGAAAGAAGTCTCCTTATCTCTTGGTGGCTCTGCCCTGCCCGCCGGGCTCAGGCTGGAAACAATACTAAAGGCAGGTACAGCCCTAAACTGGATCGGGCGGTTTCCCGGGGACAGTCAGGCCTAGAAGTTAAGTTCCTCTGAGCATGCTTTGTTCTTCCCTCAAAAGCCATAACTGGCTCATACTGGGAAGGAGATTTACATTATTCATAGACCCTGACCTGAGGCAGATCTCTTGTGTTCCTCCAATTGTTTTCCTTGATCTCTCTGTTTTCTGTAAACATAGCCTTTAGACATTGATTGATGAGCTTTGCATCCATACCCCTGTGCATATGGTTCTCAATAAAAGCGTTTGGACAAAGGGGTTTGGGGCCTTCTCTCTCTTAGAGAGAAGAGCCATGTCCTCTCTCCTGGCAAACAGAGAAGTGTTTTGGACAACTTGCGTTTATTCCCCCCATCCGTGACAACCCCAGGACAGTCTCTGTGGGATTCAGACCCTGCTCCCTCCTCAGCTGGCTCTGGACAGTAACCCTCAGATCCAGGAGCCCCACACTCTACCATGGCGCTCCCCGCAACGCAACGCAACGCTCCCCGTGACAACAGGATGTGTTGTTTTTGACCCCATCTCTGTGAAAGAAATTTCCCCTGGTATTTAACAAATCATTGTAACCTAGTATTCTGAAGTTGAAGGAATCTTGTCTTTGTCAGTAATTCTGTGAAGACAAGATTAACCTGAAGTTCTTTAAGCACCCTGTGTATGAATAAAAGTTACTCTACACAGGTTTAGTGCTAAGGGTAAGTCCCAAGCTAGGGTATTAGTTGTTATGGCAAACAAAAGTTTATAAAACATGCTCAGGCGATCAATTTCTTGCATTTTCAGCATTCAATAGACATAAATTAAAAATATATTTGGAGAATACACCTTGATTTTGCTATTATTCACAGTTTCTGATTTAAAGTTTCTTACTAGGAGCTACAATCATACTAATAACATTTATTTCAGACTACAAGAATATGGTCATTTGGATACATGATATAAAAGAACAATTTCTGTTTGTACATTTTCAAAGCAATTTTTCCTCATCTTATAATAGCTGACATTAGCGTTCAACTTCTAACGATGTATGCTCGCAGAAGCACAGGAAAATTCTTCCTTTTGCTATGAAAACAGCAGTTTAAGAAGCGAAGATGATGCATTGCATTCTTATTATATATTTTAGGTTTCCACAGCTTTTTTTGAATTTAGAAGAATTCCTATAGTAGTACACTTTTAGACTCATTTACTTGTAATGCTTTATTTCTTTTAATGAGGGAATTTGACACTTTTAATTGTTATCCATGCTACTTATGATGTAGGATAATTCTGTGAATTCCATGATGAATATTTTTAGTAAGGATGGTAAACTACTCAGCGATCAGGTTCCCCTGGCATGACTCAGGTGTGTCCCGTACCCCCAACCCCAGCATCTCTTCATGACCTTGAATAGTAATCCGAAAGTTCTGTTATTAGAAATGAATGTTAAAATGGCTACTTAAAAGCCAGAGTCTGCCCTTTCCTTAAACTAGTTCATGGGGGGAAAAAAAGATAACTTTAAGAAGTGACATTAAGCAGATTTTCACCTTGTCTTGAAAAGTTATATGCTAGCAAAATTCGGTTCAGTCTTTTTAATATATAATGTCTTCTGTAGTGGATATTTGTCTTGGTCATTCTACACAGAATAAAGGCTCTGTATTTGAATTTAAGAATTGATGCTTTAATTTCTCTTTGTGAATTAATCCCATCCGGTTTAAGAAGATGGACAGCAAGTAGGTATGGTTTTATCATTAGTTTAAAATAGTCTGTTTTCTCCCTGGCTGCTGTAGCTCAGTTGGTTAGAGCATCCTCCCATAAACGGAAAGGTTGCAGGTTTGATTCCCAGTCAAGGCACACGCCTACATTGCGGATTTGGCCCCCAGCTGGGTCACCTATGAGAGGGAACCAGTCGATGTTTCCCTCACACATCAGTGTTTCTCTCCCTCTCTCTCTCCCTCCCTTCCTGTCTCTCTCAATAAGTATGTCCTCAGGTGACAATAAAAAAATAGTTGTCTCTTTTCAACTGAAGTTTTAGCATAATAACTTTTTGCAGTAAAACCTTGCATTGTAATTATATCTGAATGCAGTTATTTCAGGTGGCATTCGCATTTTTAAAAGTAATATAAATGAGCTAGGCTGTTAGATGTAGGAGCAACAAATGGAAATGCTTAGGAGATAATTTCATGATTGAATATGATACTGAAGTTATAGTTAATATTACCAGAAGTAATAGTAAATGGGTGTTATAAATTTGTGTGTTTAACTTGAATTTTTACAAAACTGAATAATAGGCTACATCATGTTAGCATAATACAAGTACTTATAAAATAAGCCCAACAAATGATTTAGGAGGTGGACCATCCTTCCATCTCTTCCTTCTTATGTATGTTATCAACCTAATTTTTAAAATGTGCCTATTTATTATACAGTAAAGAATTGAAAACAAATAATGTTTTCTGTGAATTACTTCATTTATGGCTATAAAAATTCAGTGTTCTCAGAGAAATATTTTTTGTACAAATTTATAACTAAAAAGACTTCATATTTAGCAAAGGTCAGTGTTCTTTACTGAGTAATCAGTGCAGCTTTGCTTTATTGCCCTCGTAGTGAAAGAAGAGCTTTGTTAGCCTCCCAGGCTTCGCTTACGCCGCTGGGACGGAACGGCCGCAACGTCGCCGCCACGCTGGCACTTGAATCCAGGGAGCTCGTTAAATCTGTCCGTGCCGTACTTGAGATGGACTGTAAGTTTTCTGAATTCTTTTCACTTTTTAAAATAATTCACTTAACAAAACAAAAAAAGAAAATTTCAAGTTTGACCGTTTAATTGTGTTCAAGTATTGATTTGACTACGGTAAAATTGATACAGCTAAGCAATAAAAATCTTAATGCACTAATTGTTGGGGAAGAATATCTGTTTTATATAAAGTGCCCCAAATGGCTTCCCACAGAAGATAGCTGATTAAGATATGTCTTTATTTCCATCCAAAGTCTCTTTGAATTGGAAGATTAATCATAAAAATAAATCCACAGTAACCCTGGAAACCTGGAAAGGAGGAATCAACAGTGAGGAATTTTTGAATAATATACAACTGGTGGAATAAGGTTGAAGGTACAGCCCAGCTGAGCGAAAGACCCCAAAACACAATAACTATGAAAAACAACACTGCTGAAACAGTGAGTTCAGCAGAACCAGGGGAAAATCCCCAGGATCACAGGCAGGGAACACTAGGAACAGGCCCTGGGGCAGTGAGCAGGGTGATTAATTAAAGGGCTGTGCGGAGCTGAACCCGTCCCTGCTCTTCTCAGCTGCTTGCTCAGGCATTTACTCCTAAGCTGGGGCCCCAAGGAGGCCTTTCTTCTGGAGACGCACGATCTATCACTGGGGACCACAGAGTCACCTTTGAGCTAGAAAGACAAGCAGGACAGTTCTCTCAGAAGCTTCCAACATCTCAAAGCACAGGGAGGTCCTTGGGTAAAAGCTTAAGTGCCTGACATTACCCCCCTTTCCTCCTGCTGTCCCCAGGCCCTTTTCCTTCTTGTGGGTTTGAACACCCTTCTTACTGTTTTTCTGTCTCTTCTCCGGATGTCAGTCTGTCTGCCTACTGTTTTCTGTTCTGGCTTCTAACGTTTCACTATTTCTCTAGATTGCCATTCTTAATTTTTCTCTACTGAAGATCAGACAGTAAATATATGTAAATATAAGTATATAGAGACACAGATAAAATTCTTGTTTATTATCTATATATAGTAAGTTTTGGATAAAATCCTGGGTGGTAAATGGCTTCACTTGGTACAGAGTAATGTAAAAAATCCTTTGGGGTAACTTTTTACTTCAATACTATTTTATACAGGATTGGAAATCATGCCTCTTAATAGTATCTGCTGAATTTATATAATGGGATTTTTTTTTGGTTTTGTATAATCTATTGCCATTTTTAAAAATCAAATTACATTTCAAAAACCCTGTAAGAGCTCCTCATGTAAAGGAATCCTGTAGATTTTAAGGGGAGATGAAAAGTAACCACTCCTAATGCATTGCGTGTGTAAGCTCAGAATTTTACACATCAGACATTTGTAAGTTAGAGTGGGAACAGCGGAGGGAGGTGCCCCCACAGACACAGCCTAGTGGACATTGCCATCATTAATTTCAGTTACTTCGCTAACATTAATCTTTATATTTGTCAAACATGATTATTCAAAGAAAATATTTGAAATTTAGCAGAACTACATTGGAAGAAGAGTCAAAAATTCCATCTGCACTTTTTATCCATTGCAAAATTACACATAGTTTGTTGCTTAAAACTAGCAAATAGTTTCTATGTTTTCTTTTTATTTAGAAATATAATTGCCAATGTTGGCATATTTTCCCAGTGCTTTTATAATGGTATATGACATATCTTTTTAAGTTTAGTAATCAGATCAACTCAGCTCAGTTTTCTTTCTCTTTATACAGTAGCATTTTCTACATATGTAATGAAAAACGGAAAATTACTGCCATGACGTAGATAATTCGGCTGCAGCCTTTACCTCATTCCTTTGGCCAATCGCTATCTGGTTATTTCAAGTTACAATTTGAAATTTTCTCCTGGGTAATTGCCTCCACTTTCTTCATAATATAAGGACACTCTAAGATGTTATATTATGAGATTTTCTCAGAAATGAGAATAAGATTTCTTGGGTCTTAGAGCTTAAAAACAAGCTTCTGAGGAATATCTACAGGACAGTTCTGAACCTTTTTTGGATCATGAACTACACTGAAATCTGGGGAAAGTCCTCTTCCCAGAATTGTGCAATTATACAACATTGCATTCATTTTCAGGTGTGTATGAACCCCAACTTAAAAAACCTGATAGAGAATAACAGATAATACGAATGGGTTGCAAACATGGCTGTCCAGCCCTCAACAGAATACCTGTAGCAGTGGGCAAGTTCCTGAATCATAGGGGCAGCCCGGAGCGGAGTTTGAATCCGTGTAAACAAATGCATCTCAGAATCTCTGATGTTCTCTAGAAGTAGACTCTGCAGAGAGCATCCCAATTAGTCATTCGACTTTCTTGGGCAAATTACACAACCTCTGGGCCTGTTTCCTCATATGAAAAGTGGAGATCATATCTGTAGGGCAGGAGTGGAGGGTTAGATGAGATACATGTCAAGTGGCTAACAGAGCACTTGGTAATATGAGAAGTTCCATAAATGGACCTAGCCACAGCTGCTAAGCTGGTACCACGTTATCATTATCATTTAAAGTAATTAATTTACACACACTTTTTCTCTGTGCTAAGTACAGAGAAAAATACTTAATAATAATTATTGCCTAAAGCTTCTTTCAATTTGGATACTTTTGAAAATTGGTAGATGAGAGCTTTTCTTAATATATAACATTTAATGTTATTAGGGATTTTGTGTTAGAGAGTATTATCATCACAGGAAACGCTAAATTTCTGAATCAGCATCTTATCTTTCCGTTGTTTACTACTAAGAAAACTTTGGTCTGTTCTTTGACATTTCTTCCATTGAAACGGTATATAAACAGAATAGGCATTCTCAACCATTTTTGGAGCCCTTGGAGTACTTATATTGTTCTCAGTCAGTATTTACATGATCAATATTGTGATACTTTAGTGTAATCTTAATTTAAGATAACTACTTCTTTAGAACTATAATCTTTTTTGATTGACAAAATAATTCTGTAACAAAAGCATGAAGAGGCAGTTCTATTTTCCAAGTGCATAATGAAGGGACCTAACTGGATAATCCCTTAGGAGGTCTTTGATAAAGAGAAGATATTGATTTCCAGATTAATTGGTAACATAAACACAAGCGGCTACCTTCGTTTAAGAGATTCCCATGGAAATGATTAATGCAATATGAAAATAGGGGGAAATCTTCAAAACAGCACTAGCAGTTACAGGCAGACCCCCAAAACTCTTCAATACAGGGCAGGTCGGACCTCATAGAAGGAAAACACAAGCCCTGGCTGGTGTGGCTCAGTGGAATTAGCACTGGCCTGAAAACCAAAGGATTGCAGGTGTGATTCCGGTCAGAGTCCATGTCTGGGTTGCGGGCCAGTTCCCCAGTAGGGGGTGTGCAGGAGGTAGCTGATCTGTGTTTCTCTCACACATCAGTGTTTAGTACATAAATAACATTTTTAAAAAAAAGAAAGAAAGGAAGGAAGGAAGGAAGGAAGGAAAAAGAAAGAGAAAGAAAGAAAGGAAGGAAGGAAGGAAGGAAGGAAGGAAGGAAGGAAGGAAGGAAGGAAGGAAGGAAGGAAGGAAGGAAGGAAGGAAAGGAAGGAAGGGAGGGAGGGAGGGAGGGAGGGAGGGAGGAAGGAAGGAAGGGAGAACACAAGGACCAATTTGTCCCCTCCTCTGCCGAACAACAGTAGCAATTATGAGGAACCCTGGTGCTAGGGCACCCCAACTGCATTCTAATTTGAACAGGTAACAATGTCAGAAACTGCCTGGGGATGGACAGACTCTTTTTTTACTCTTATCTTGGTAAGTCAATGGCATTTTTGAAATTTTCAGCGTTCACACAGAATCTGTGTCAAGCAGCAGGCGCACCGGGGCTTGGTCCTTTAGACAGCGTAGCCACACTTCAGATGTGACGCGCCCTGGGGCATCCGGGAAGCTTTAAATATAAAGGGAGTCTGACACAGTGGCCCCTGCACCAAAAGCCACGTCGCTCTGCACAGCCGTCTCTGGTCCTGGCTTGCTTCTCACACCCCTCAGGCCGCCGCGTCATCCTTGAGCACGCGTTGCAAATGCACGTTGGCCAGCCCCCGGCCTGAGCTTTGAGGGGGCAACGCCAACAACCGGGGCCCACACATCCTTTCAAAGGTCAAAACCCGATTCTGAGTAGAGAGTTCTCAACATTCAAGCTTTTATAAAGAGAAATATGTCACACATATACACGCACACATTTCATCCAAGCTCTTACAAACTGACATACATATAAATATACCAATACATGATTATGAAAAAGTCCCAGTATTAGAGCTAGCAAATATAGCTGTCAAGATGCAGAATAGAGTTTGAGAACAAGATGATAGTGATCTCATGCCAAAACCTCCCCATTCTGCTCTTATACTTAGAAATGACATTTGAAATTGTGTTTGTATGTTTAAAAGATTAAAACCAAGAAAGGATCATCTCCCTGCACCAAAACAGAGGGTAAAACTCTAATGATAAGTGGGTTCTCAAGCTTCAGAGATGCATGGAATTTAGATGAGCAGCTGGAGCAAAGGTTTCTCCACCCACAAGGGCCCAAATGAAGCCTGAGCAGAGGAAGCAAGGATTTGTCCTGTGGAGAATACACTCTCTTAAGTTACTTGTATAGTAGACACCTAAGAAAAGATATCCCTCCACTTTAGAGCCACGTGGGCCTGGCCCTAATTAAAATTCAAAATAAATATTCTCATCCACAAAAGGTAGGGATATAATTTGGCACATTCTTGGGAATCAGTTTTGCAGTACATATCAGGAGCTTTTAAAAAGTTTCTTTAAAAGTTAAAAAAAAAATGTGATGGTCATATATTTTAACTTAATAATCCCACCCATTGGTATTTTTTTGGAAAAAAAATGAGAGATGTGCATAAATATATATATATATATGTGCTTTCATCATAGCATTTCTTATAATAGAAATATGGATGTTCAACTGTTACAAATTAGTTGCATAATTATGTAATTCTTACTCAGCCACTTGAAAAGAAGGGCGAACTTTTCTCCTACCAAGCAAT